ATGGTGTCATGGAGCTGCATAGGGGGCTCTGATTCGTTTGTAAAGAGGTTCCTTCTTCCGCTATAGGGTGAGGGGCATCATGCCCGCAAAGCGAACTTCGTGCATGCCGGTACTCGTACCTCGACCCGGAGTTGATAGAGCTTTGCTCCTGAATTACAGCTTGTACTCATTGTCCTCTCGCAGAAATAAGATAGGCAAGCCTGTATGATCGCACGACTTCCATACGCAAGTAATGCAGGCCAGCATGGAGGCAGTGGTGGACACGACCAGCTGGCTAATGAAGGAGGCGAAGTGCAATCTTCTGATGTGGGAGCGGGCGATTTTGACTTTCACAGGGTTCCACTTGAATTTGCAACATGCCCTATAGGCCCCAACATCTACTGTAGCCAAACCGCCTCAACCTTGCTTGAAGCCATAAGCCTTGAGGCATTGAACCTCCAAGAGGTCAGCTGAGCGTAAGGGGGCCCAGAACAATGTCGAGCCCAGCCATGTTCGCCTTTAGTGAGCTCAAGTTGGGGTTCCAATTTATTTGTCCAGCAGCTCTGTTAAGGGCTCGAGCCCCAAAAGCTTTTTACAGTTACACATTGACGGGGTGCAAAACAAACCGGCGGGTCAGAATACAGTAGTCAGGGTTTGTCCTACATTGAGATACATTAAATTTATAAGTCGTTTATGAAGCCACCGCCTACAGAAAAGTAGGCCCGGCAACCTGGCAGGTTGACAAGTTCTGTCCTCCTCTGCCGCTACCTCCGAGACATCCTGGCATGTCCCGGATGGAGAGGCCGCTTGCGAGCCTGTAAGCATAAACCCAGAACATAAATAAAGCCTGATCCCTGAAGGATGAAAGTTTAAAGTGATTTTAGAGCTTGCAAGCCTATAAGCCACATAAGCCTTATACCTTATACATCAAAGGGGCTAAGGTCTGTGAATCGATCGGAATGCCAAGTCGGACGGGGTTCCCAGGATTTTTTCGAGAGAAAAATGGCTTTCGAGTTCAAGGTAGGGATATTGTTCCGGGTTCAGCAAGGCTCTGGGGTTGTCATTTCGACGGTTGGCTGTTGCCCTAAATACTGGGCCACCTCGAAAAAATCGTGACGAGGCACCAGCGGATGCTGACTCTGCAACGGTACGTCCATGCACAACCCGCTGAGTGCAAGCTGCTACGCTTCGAGGCCTACACAATGCCGTGATTCAGGTTCTGTGGCGTTGGTAGCTTTGTGTGTCGGGAGAGCGGTTCGTTGGAGCTGCACTACAGATTTTGAGGATGATACCTGGGACAAACGACGAGCAGCGGCAATAATTCGGCATGACGGGACTTTGCTGGTGCCACATTCGTTGGGAACCATGGGCCTCCCCTCTTGAGAGAGGTGTTGAATATGACAAACTTCGTCTATTGGTAGTCTGGCAGGGAGCCCAGATTCTCCAATTCCCCCATTGTCAGGGTGTTCGGGGGGGAATCTGAAAGTTTGTGCTCGTATGTTCAACGTCTCGTGTTTCTACCCGTTTCTTCGACCCAAGCGTGCAGATGCAGGCTTGACAACACTTAGGAAACCCTCAACCAACCCCTTTTCCGCCCTCCCTGTCCTCGCTGTCCTCCTCCACCTCCCAATCGTGCAGGTGCAGCAGGTGGCGAAACTGGCAGTTGAGGCTGAGCAAGCACTTTACGAGGCGACCCGAAGGCGAGCCGCACCTAGTCTTGCAGAGGCTTTAGCAATGTAGCGAGAACGCAAGAAACACGAACGCCACTAGTCACACCACCCGCAAATCCCTGGTCTCACTGTCCGATTCAGGAGTGGCCTGGCAGCAAACGCCGCCATGCAGGCTTGGGACTCCGGCCTGGAGTATTCGGTCCAGACCCTCTCTTCGTGGGATTTAGGAGGGGGGGGGGGGTTGTTGGACATATCGGGAGGCATGACATCTGGGCCGGGAGAAAGCGAAGAGACCGACAAAGAAACTTGGACTAGACTTTCCGGAAGCCGTGATCTCTACACCAAAACTCCTACATCTTCAAAGAGAAAAATTAGATCCTGAATGTGAGTGCTGAAACCTGAAACTCCAATTCCTGAAAGCCACCAGCAAACACGCTATCAAACCAAGACGCCATGTGGAAGTGAGGGTCAGGTGAGCAGCTTGTGTTAAATACTCAGTACGGACGAGGTTAGCTCATACAAAAACACGATTCCCCGCATGGTGTTTCTAAGCTTCGACAATGAAGCTTTTTGCCACTGGATTTTCGGGTTTGGGCTGTATAGACAGGTTCAGGATCTCGCTTCTTGGAAGCAAGAATTGCTTTCAGAAGCCCATGGCCAGACGCCATGCCTCTTCATCTATCCAACAACCCCCCACACCCGCTGAAAACCCCGCTAAGCTAGTCATGGCTCTTTGTCTCTTCCGGGGCTTCCCAAAGCTTCAAGAAGAAGATCTCGAGCAAATCCACAGCATGACAGCAGAAGACGGATGTCCAGCTTCACAGGGCCTACAAGGTCTACGAGCCCCTATAGTAAGGTTGAACCCCATTAAACCCTTTTCAGCCCTACTAGTAAGATCTAGCAAGTGGAAGGAGGCCAGGGTTTTGGGGCTGGGTGCCGACGAGGCAGCGTTGAATCCGGCCTTGGCTTTCCCGCCTTACCGAGGCCGGGTCTGTCCCGGCTGGGGGTTGAGGATTTATGCCTCCCATGGGGCTTGTGGGGTTTGGGGAACCGGCTGTGTCGGATTCGTGTTTTGGACTTCACAGGTTTAGAGCCACAGTTTAGGGTCAAAGATGTTCAAGGTGTAGGAGGGTCTACAGGGCCTTGGGGCCTGATGAGCTTTACATCAGCAGCTTTCAGTCGGCGCGTGTGACGGGAGCTTTGTTCTATTTCAAGAGTGGAGCAGTGTAGCTAGGCTGGCAGCAAGAATCCTCATCCGCCAAGGGTCTGACCCAGAGGCCACACAAGCGAAAACCTGTAAGCCTGGCAAAGTTGACACTACGCACAATTAAGCCGGGCCGTGACAATAGGGGCTGAGGTTTGAGGTATCAGACTTTGGCATCTATTCAAGATTCTTGGAGTACAGTATTGAGGGTGTTGGTTTAAATGCGAGGCATTCGGGTCGGAAGTATGACAAGGCTGAGGGTGAATGGTCAGGTCGACTCGATGTCCAATCATGCTTCATCTAAGCAGAAACCCTGACTTTCACGGCGCAGGCCCCCCCTTCGAGCGGCCTGCCGACACCGTCAGCGTGGGCCCTGTGTGAGGATGTCGACACACTTGACAGTCGTCAGATCAGTCTGCTCCGGCCCAACATTGAGCCCTACCTTCCCGAATGAGAAAGCAGGCTCGGGCCAAACGGCATTCTAGGCCCTAGGCCCTAGGCCCCAAACCCAAGCCAGGTCCGAGGCGTGTAAAGCCTCAACTTCGAAGCTCCGGATCCCCGAATGCTGAAACGACCCCCTGAGCCCAGGCACCCAAAATGTTGAGGAGGGCACACCCGAGAAAGGCGTTCCTGCATGAGGCTCAGATCCACGGGCTTCTCTTTGTGTATCACATCTTGTATGGTTCGCACGCGTAGGAAAATCCATTGAATACCGCCGAAAAGGAGTTTCGACTGGGGTCTTCTCGGGTTCCTGCTTCATTCCCATACACACCCTAAGCCCGGTCATGCCCGCCGCGAGCTCGGACAATTCTGTGGCTGCGCATGCTGGAGTGAATTCCACCATGCTCCACCATCTTCACATATCTTCACAGAAGAGCAAAGAGATTGGCCAAGGTCTGCCATCTTACCTGCCACCACATGGGGGGCAGGCGGCGCGGGGGGGCTGCGGTTCGGATCAGCCAATCGAATGGTCTCCCAAACATAATGTGGCCGGAAGCCTCCATACGGGCCTGAAGCTATGTGAGTGTTCGGCAGCCTTATGAGCATCCCTAAGACGAATGAAGAGGCCCTGCATCCGTTCTGTGCTTGTGATGTGTTTTTGTATTCGAAGTTCCGGCAGCAGGGGATGTGAAGCTGCAAGGGTCACCGTAGAGGTTTTTAGCCATCTTGCTCAAGAATATCGCAGCAGGATGCTGTCGGTGATTTTCGCAATTTCCGGGAGGTGGACCAGCGACGAGGTCACCTGGCCGTGGCCGTGTCTGGGACCATGTAACTAGAGAGTTTGGGTTTGTGGAGCCTTCCGCGGGGCGTTCATGGAAGAGTCTCAGGCTTTGTTTGGGAGTTGTTCGTATGGGCTTGCGGGTTCTTGCGCGCCTGGGGCGCTGCTCCTCGGGGATGACAGGAGTAGCAAGAAACAGTCGAACTGCTTCCAGTAGTCCAGTACAACGCCACAGCTTATAACTTGGAATCTACAGAATGGTGAGGGTTTCGACTCTGAGTGCCAGGCATGAATTTGTTGCCAAGGAAGGATGAGAAGGCGACTTCATTCCTCCTACTCTGAGGCAATGTGGCCGCTAACAGCTTGCAACTCGACTTACCAATCCAAGTCTCTCACGCTGTCGAAGCCAACCCTGCACCCTCAACCTTGAACTTCCTTGAACCCTGCACCCCAAATAGCTTGCAGTCCTCAAGTTCACGAGCTGCAAAGTTTATTCAGCTCGAACAAAGCTCGCAGTTTGCGGATAGAAAGCGGGGTCCCCATCTTCATCGCCGAGCGGAGCTTCGAAGAGGTTCAGGGTCTTGTCCTTTGTGCAACTTTGTGCAACATGGACGTCTTGGGCCTTGAAGCTTCGGGCTCTTGTTGTATTGGTCCGGCCATATGCCTCAGAGGTGGCCAGCTCATGCACCGTGCGTTGTGATGCCCGTGACACATCCTGACACTGGCTTGGGCACAGGGCGCTCGTCTGCAGCTTTCTTGAAGTTTGTGGAGTTGGGAGCCCGGAGGATGCTTTCCCCATCATGTTGTTAAGCCTAAGCCTTATCCGAACAACATCGGGGAAGGTCACTAGAAAAAACGCGTCGAAAACCAACATGGCAACTTCTAGCAGCTGGGGTGTTGAGTGCCATAGCGGTCACGGGCTTGCACCATGGGCGCTGCCATCTCCCGGCTATGCTACAAAATGGCCGGGAGACAGGACATCCGAATTCTGATGCTGGGTTTGGATGCTGCCGGCAAGACGACCATTTTGCAGAAGCTGAATTTAGGCGAGGTGATCAAAAGCACCCCTTCCAGCGACTTCGACGTGGAGACTCTGTACTACAAGAACATCACTTTCACTGCCTGGGACGTAGGCGGAGATGCCAAGCTCAGACCCCTGTGGCGTCACTACTACCAGAAGGCTCGTGGATTGATCTTCGTTGTTGACAGCAGTGACCGTGATCGCATTGAGGATGCAAGGCGGGAACTCAACATGATTCTGAATGAGGAGGAGATGCAGGATGCCGTGCTGCTGGTCTATGCCAATAAGCAGGTGCGGGCTGTGTGTGTACCATCCAAATGGCACTTAAAATGGGGTTATTTTGAGCACCAGTTTGGGTATTTTTGACTTCGAAACCCATTCATGCAGTGTAGAGACATCGATTCTCAGCACTTGAAAGGACCTGCCGCAAGCGATGACCAAAGAAGAGGTGATTGACAAGCTTGGGCTTAACACTCTTCGTCGCCGCGTGTGGTTCATTCAGTCTGCAAGCGGCACCACTGGGGATGGCCTGTACGAAGGTATTGACTGGCTTTCAACCCGAAAAGAGCTGACTACCATTAAGCAATAGGTTAAGTCGCGTGAAGGTAGGCGTGGTAGAGTATGGTAGACATAGATGACATAGAGGCAATCTTTGTATGTTTTTGATTGTCTTTGTTGAGATTCTTTGGGTCCGTCTCTGCGTTGTGGAGACTCCAAATATGGAGCCTGTTTGCAACTGGTCTGAGCTGGCACATCCATGCAAAGCATGCCGATGGATTCCAGAGACCACCGGATTTGTTCAAAGGCTGTGGCCTTCTTGCATTGGACCATTGACATCGGTGTTGGCTGCACGTTGTCTCTACTGAGTTTGGGGTTGAAGCTGCTCAGGATCCTCAGTTGGGGGTGGGGTGGGGGAGGGGGGTGACTGGTCTGATCCTGTTGTTGCTTGATTCAGGAAACCTTTCAGTAATTATCTTGCAGTGGTGAAGTGCCACAAAAAATTGGTTTTGCCCAGATTTGCCTCCCACCTTGAGTCAGCCCAGCCCAGCCTCCTAGAGTTCTTCCAAGATCCAACAGGCAGCTCTGATATAACTCCAGCGCCCGACGCTCCCTGAGTCTCAGCCTTGCACAGTTCTCACGCCGCAGCCCCCCGGGTCAAAACGCTCTCTCGCCTGTTCGCACCCAACATGACGCCCTCGGACATGTCGGACAGCAGCGAGGACGAAGAGTGCCCGTCTCAGGGGTCTTCCAACCTTTGCCAGAGGTTTAGGGCTGATGATGATGTTTATGCTGATGCTGATGATGATGATGATGATGTTGATGATGTTGATGGGTGGGCCGGTGGTGGCGGTTGCGGCCGCCCATCGACCATGATGAAGATGCAGATGGGCATGATCATGACAAGAAGTTGGAACCAAGTTTCCTATCAGCGAAGACTAAGGCTCTGAAGTACCCACCTAGTTATCGCTGCCCGAAGATCCACAGGCTCAACTGGCGCCTCGAGCAGCGGAAACAGTCCAGCAAGGGAATGAGAGCTTGAACCGGAGATCGCAGCGCGTAGGAAGCAGAGAGTCCATTCTCCTCCCCCCCTCACCACAGCCTGAACAAGCCACAAATCTACGCTGTCCTTTGAGGCAGCCGCGCTGCTTCGGACATCCGCGAAGCCATGTCATTCTCTACGTCGTGGCCGGACCAGTTCACCTTGAAAGAGTGGCTCACGCAGATGCCCCGCCCCTCCCACCCTCAGCCCACAAATTGCCTAGAAAGCCTTACTTTCGTCACACCTGAACCAAGTTCCAAATCTGATCGGCTCTCTACCTGAGGTCAGCCCAAACAACCCCAATGGCATCCAACGGCCTTCAATCGCTAATGAAAGCCGCCCTTACGTGTCACTTGAAGCAGCCGGGGACCACAAGTGGGATCAGATGCTTTGCTGGTCGGCTTCTTGATGCTGCCCTCAGTAAACCGTACTATTCCTCAGGCTCCAAATCGAAGACCTTAAATTCCATGGGCAAGCCAAAGCTGTGACAAGCCGCGGCATGTTCCCCACCTTCACTTCCCAGTGTTCCTGGTGGAGCAGGCGACATTGGCTGCGGTGGGTCTGTACGTTGCCGGCGTCATGCCCACCCAAGCCCAGGAGGTAGCGCAGGGGGTGCTGAAGCTCGGAGTTTGACTTGTGGAGTTGAGGGTAGTTTCAGGTGTGGGTCGCCCCGCGATGGGTCGGTGTTGCCCAAGCACCAGAAACTGGACCCTGAAATTCGCCCTAAACTGGAACGAGAACATCTTGGACGCTGGCAGCTGGCACTTTGCGTGTGTGCACAGTCCATGAGGTCCCAAAAGGTTGTACAAGTCAACCCTCAGATGCCGAGGGATCGGCCATTTCAGGTTGCCCCGGCTCCAGCCATGATCCCGGAGCCTGCTGCGCAGCACAAGGTCGCCATGCAGCTACCTCGGCGTGGGTTTACGAGGAGGTTGTTTTGATCTAAAGCTCCCATGTTTATGAGGGTATTACAACCTGGACGATAAATCTTGAGGGCCTGGAGGTTCGGATGGATGGGGTGGGGAACTTCGCTACCGAAGGTGCCTCATGTTGAGACATTGTGGACGATGCTTCGTAGCCGGTGGACACCCGGCATTGCAGCACAGACGGCCGACATTTTTGGTCAGCGTCTCGAACATGCCGACAGCAAGACGAGACAGGACAAGGCTGTGTCGTGTGTTCTGCAAGCCATCTGGTACTGTCCGTGGCAAAGTGGCTCTGTAACTACATGCATGCGGTGCTTCAGCATGTTGCAGGCCAGGCGAACCAACCACCTGCAACCAGCAACGTTGATCATGAATTGCCCAGCAGAGCCCAATTCTGTCTTTGCAGATGCCAAAAGTTCCCCGTCTTGGGCTTCAGGTTGTCCTCTCGAAGTGTCGTGTGCATCGGGCCAACGGCTCCTACTCAGGAACCTGCCCACCTCCGTCCGTGTTCTGACCTCCTTTGACCTCTTAAATCCTACTTGTACAAGATGCGGTTTTAAACTTGTTGAGTTTTCCCTTTGGTAGGAAGGACACAGTTTAACCAGTTTAACCTTCTTGCCCCATGGAAGATGCAAGATCATAGAGAATTCTCAGCACCCTGCCCAGGTCCGCAGAAGAGCTCCCGAGCGACCCTGATGAGAAGATGCAGCTCGAACCTGAGGACGCTACCTCCAACGTAGTAACTTTCCCTGAAGGAGGCCATCGAAGCCAAGGAAAACCCAACATCAATGCCCTGACAAATAATCAGAGACCATACAGGTCGAAATGCTCGTCAGATGCCAAGGGCAGTTTGTAAAGCAGAGGGCTTTGAGGCCAGTCAGGCTTCAGCTATGGTGGCTGAAGTTGAAGGCAGTGGCGCGAACCTTGGCTTTAGGGGGTTTAGGATTTGGATGGCTTTAGGGTTCCCCGACGAGCCGAAACCCACAGTAGCCTGTCTCCCTGTCCCCTTGGCAGGAGAACTCTCCTTTCTTCAAGATGCTCCCAGAAACTGGGCGACCGCTTTACTGTTGGGATTGCAGGACTTGATGCGTTCACACAGTGGCCGCGGGCTTCTCGCGTTTAGGCTTACAGTACCTATCAACAAGAAAGGGCACTTGCGTCATGTGTGTTCTTGGGCGGATGAGGCCGCCCTGTCACTTCTCAACTTCGTTTCCAAAGCAGCCCAGGAGAAGGTACAGGATTGGTACTTCAAACAGCCGCTTGGCTTGCGCGCATGAACATCCTGACGTTTGTTTCGAGGGAAAGGGGTAGGTGCAGCGATTGGGACGCCGGCACAAGCCTGGCAGCACAACACAAAGCAACTGCAAGCACAAAGCGCGCTGGACTGGGGAGAGCATGCTTTCCACCTGGTGCGAAAAACGAACGTTTGTTGTGCGCTGAACTTGCAGCTCACCTGGCCAGCCAAGTGAACCACACCGCTCCTGAGTAGTGATGTGAAGCCGGAAGTTGAAGCTAGCGCCCTCCGGCGACATGGAAGGCAACAACTAGACCTACAAATCCAAACGGGCAATCCGAATTGTGAGAGAAGGAAGCACTCAGAGTCGGCAAGGTTTAATTCCATAGATGCGATCGAAGTGGCAACGCTAGGACGCAGACACCTTTTGAATTGGCTCTGGATGTTGATTGTTGCTGCCACTATGTAGCCTTACACAGCTGCACATGCAGCACTGCTCTCAGGAAGAGCAATCTGAAGGAGCTGCCTGGCTGCGGTTCAGTTCCCACCTTGGCCACTGGATTTCCACTGCTCCTGGTCCCCTCCCCTGCCCTGATGGTTCGCCTGGGTGACAGAGCTTCGACTCTGAAAATATGGGCCCCTAGCATGGCAGCCCAGATGCCCAGGGCAATCTTGTAATTGCGTTTATTATTACACTCCTTCGTCCCACATCGCAGACAGCTGCGACAGGCAGTTGGAGGAGAAGACGACCGTGTCATACTACAAGAGCCCCCATCACCTGGTGCGCGGAAACATGGGCCAGTTTTTGCCCCTTGCCTGCTCGTTCACTTTGCCTGAGTTAAAACTTTCGGGCGCGCAGAGGCTTTTTTGAGGGTGTTCAGGAGATGATCAATCGTAGAGCTCTACACGTTGAGCAAGCCCTTGGCTCCAAGCACCTCTAAAGCCCAATCCTATAGACCCGAAGTTTTGAGTTCGAAGATGCTGAGGAGGGCCCAGCAGAAGGCCGCCATCGCCGCCATGGACGGTTAGCCCCGCACAGTGAGGGTTTTCTCACTCCTTCGGCTTGCTCCGCAATGAGAGAGCTTAGGGAAGTTTAGGGTTTTAGGATTAAGGGAGGGAGGCTGAGCTGGGTGGTCGGATTTACAAGGAAAAGGTGTAAATAGCCCAGGGGCCTTCGCGTATGTAGAGCGGAGGGCAACCTATAGACGACATGACAACCCAAGTAGGCAATTAGCCAGAACGAGACAGTGAGAGACAGATGAGAAAATAGTCAGGTAGAGAGAGAGGGAGAGAGAGAAGGAGAGACAGAGACGGAGACAGAGACAGAGACGGAGAGACAAAGAGGACAGAGACGGAGAGACAGAGCCACAGAGAGACAAAGAGACAAAGAGACAAAGAGAGAGTGGACGGGGACAAGAGAGGTCAGGTTGCACTGTTTCCGGATGTCAGCAGCCAGGCGTCAGGTTCAGGTGATCGGTTTAGGGCTCCGGGTTCCGGGTTAAGCTTTCCACATTCGAGACCCTAGCGCACTGTATCTCGTCAATTAAAGCACCCTCAAATCAACGCGGATGCCAGTGACAGCACGGAGGTGTCTGAGGGAGTTGTAGTCATATGGCAGAAGCGAAGTCTTTTATCAGCTCCAGATGGGTCTTGCTGCTTGCGCCGGAGGATTGCATGAAACCGCAACTTGAAAGAGCAACTGAAAGAATCCATGTCTTGGCAGCTGCCCGTCGTGTGAGCTTTGCATAGACCTCGGCGGAACGCGGAAGAGGTGCAAATTGGAGCTGCCGCGCTGTACAGACGAGCTGGCCTGGCGACTCCCAAGCTTGTCCACTATCGTCACGATCGTGCATATTGTTCGGGGCCGCAGCCATTGTCCCAGAATCCAG